TCAGCTGCCAGCCAGTCTGCAGTCATGACAGCAGCTTTGTAGAATGACCCTAACTGATCTGAGTGTTTTGGATTCACCTAGAGAAAAGGTATTATGTATAATTGCAGTTACTAATTATTTTCATAATAACATTATCTAATATTATTTATCATTTATCACATGGTAACTACTCCTTAATACTATACGCATACAAACTTTGATGTTCAAAATCAGACAACCAAATGGGGTAGGTATTGCCACCATGTTGCTGATGAAGAAACTGAGGCACAGAGAAAATAAGTTATTTGCCTAAGAAAGGTCACACGGGAAACAGATGGTAAAGCCTGAACCAAATCCAGGCAATCTGTCTCCCCAGCCCATGCTTTGCAGCTTCCTCCCACAATGCTGTGGTACCTCCTGAAATTTTAGTGCTGCTTGGAGCCAAGTACCACACCCTGTATTTTTTAAGACTTCTCTCGATTCAGAAGTCTAAGTTGGAAAGGTCCCTGGAGAGGTAGACAACCAGGTTCCCATTTTTACTATTGGATAAGAAACTGTTAGAACGAAATCAGCACCACACACACCACTGGGGATGTGCTAGAGAATTYTGAGTGTRCCTGTGTAAACACTTTGAGTAGCTATTTATAAAATTGTGAGAGATAGATATTATGCTAATACACATGCAAGCTAAATAAAATAATTAGTATAATTGTCTTAGTTATTAACTATGAGAAATATCAAAAATACATAATATTATAATAATATATCTAGCCTTGATTCAGTACAGGAAGTTGTTATTGCATTCATTTATTGGTTTATTCAGCAACAAATATTTGCTAAGAACTAATATGGCTTAGGCACTGGTCACAAATAATACACAAACATAAATCTCTGCCCTTGTATAGCTTACATTCTAGTTGGGAGAAAGAAATCACACAAAAAAATTTTAAAAAATAAGTAATCTGCTATATTATTAATATTATATGGTACATTATACATTATAGTAAAAAGTATGTTAAAGTATGTTAACTGTATTATATAACTATATATTATAGTGTACTATAATATTATATTATTAATACTACTTACAGAAGGAGATCATGTGGAAAAATAAAGCATGGTAAGAGAGGAGATGATAATAGAGAGGAGTAAAATTTCAAATTTTCTTAATTTAAAAKGATTATAAATAAAGTTGAACTTTCTGTTTCACAAAAAATAAATACATACATAGGTAATGGATTTCAGTTTTATTCTCTGGGGACCATCTATTTAACTTTCCAATTTTTAATTTATTCTAATTAGTTATACATTCAGTAGAATGCATTTTTACATATCATACATAAATGGAGTATGACTTCTCATTCTTCTGATTGTACATGATGTAGAGTTAACACAGGTTGTGTAAWCATAGATGCATATATTGTAATAAAGTCCAATTCATTCTACTATCATTCCAACCCCAAACCCTGTCCCCTCCCTTCACTCCTCTCTAATCTGAAGTGCCTCTATTACATTCCCCCCTTATTATGAATTAGCATTCACATATCAGAGAAATCATTCAGTCTTTGGCTATTTGGGATTGGTCTTATTTCACTTAGCATAATATTCTCCAGTTTCATCCATTTACCAGCAAATGCTATAATTGGACTTTTTAAGGCTGAGTAACATTCCATTGTATATATATATATATATATATATATATATATATATATATATATATCACAATTTCTTTATTCATTCTTCTATTGAATGGCATGTAGGTTGGTTCCACAGTTTAGCTATTGTGAATTGAGCTGCTGTAAACATTGATGTGGCTGCATCACTGTAGTGTGCTGATTTTAAGTCCTTTGGGTATATGCCAAGGAGTGGGATAGCTGGGTCAAATGGTGATTTCATTCCAAGTTTTCTGAGGAATCTCTATATTGCTTTCCATAGTGGTTGCATGAATTTGCAGTCCCACCAGCAATGTGGTGGGACTTTTTYCCCACATCCTTGCCAACATTTATTTTTGTTTGTGTTCTTGATAAATGCCATTCTGACTGCAGTGAGATAAAATCTCAGTGTAGTTTTGATTTGCATTTTTCTAATGGCTAGAGATGTTGAATGTTTTTTAATATATTTGTTGATTGATTGTATTTCTTCTTCTGTGAAGTGTCTGTTCAGTTCCTTAGCCCATTTATTGATTGGTTTATTTAGTTTTTTGGTTTTATAACTTTCCAGTTTTATTTGTRTTCTGCTGAAGTCAGATAAATCTCATTTAAATGTGAATACACAACAAATAAACTAATTCTTACATAATTAAAGTTAATATTTAAAGAAAACTATTATCAAATCATAATTGTCTGCATGAATATGGCAAAAAAAGAAAGGGAGAATAGTATTTGGGTGATTAAGTTGGAGAACTGTTCAAATAGGGACCACCAAACTTTTCCTTCCCAGTTGCCTTCAAAGCATCTGTGTTTAAGTTGATAGGAGGCGGAAGAAGACCAGAAGCACTTACTCTGTGTTAGCTCTTGGCACTAAAGGTGAGATGCCCTATCACCAGCCAATGGGGAGGGTCCTGTCACCTCAGCTTGTCTGAGATACACAGTCCTCTGTTTCCCCCTCTGCTTGCCTACAAGACCGCCTCCGGGGAGAAAGAAGAAGTTGAAAAGTAGAGCATACAAAAAGAAGCAAGTTGATTGCAACCCATTATTTATTTTTGGTACTGGTGATTAAGCCCAGGGATGCCTAACCATTGAGCTACACCCCCAGTCCTTTTGTAATATTTTACTTAAAGACAGGGTCTCATGAGTTGCTTAAGGCCTTGGTAAGTTTCTGAGGCTGGCTTTGAACTTGCAATCCTCCTGCCTCAGCCTCCTGAGCCACTGGGATTAGAGGCATGCGTCACCATGCCTGGCACAAACCATTCTTTCATGTTACACATAAAAGTGTAACATAAAAGAATGTGATGGTGATTGGTGGTGCATGTAGGCAGTGTGTGTGTATTGAGGATTTGGGAGAAGGCAGAGGCCATGAGCTACACAAAGTAGGATACAGGCTTCCCCTCAAAGAGGACACAGGATGTACCAAGCGCTGGGGAGGAGTTGCAACCCTTTTCTCACCACCGGGTCACTTTCAAGTCACTTTTGTCAGAATAAGCCTTTAGCACCATGAGTGACCTCATGCAGGAAAAAGTCTTTTCATACTTTTAGATTCATTACTTTTAATTGACAAATAATTACAGCCAATATTTGTGGACCACCTACTGTACACTAGACATTGTGCTTTACATACATCTTCCCATTTAATTCACAGAATGGCCCATGAGGATCTATGATTACTATACAGATAAAGAAACATAGGTTTATGGAAGTTCATTAATTTGTCCTAACACATGCCAGTAGTAAACACTGGCACCATAAATGACTGACTCTGGAATCTGTATTAATTCCATTTGAACCTGTAAATAATTCCATGATTTATCAAGAATAAGGAATATCTTTATTCTGAGCAGGAATGGCAGACAAGATGAGAGATGGTAGTGTTAAAAGAGCTGGCTTTGATTATGGCTCTGCCATTTATTAGTCATTTAGAGTTGAGAAAATTATCTAAGCCCTCCAATACTTAAAACATTTTTAACTGTCAAGTTTTAGAGAACATGTCATCTCTTGGGGTCTTGATATCTTGGCCATCTTCATCACCATCAGAACTATCACATATTGAGTGTTTTCTCAACTTAATTTTTTCTCCTACCTGAAATTGCCATGCTCTTCCCTCAAAACCTTTATATTAAGTGGTGGCTACCACGTACTACTATACTACTAATAGTAATGATAGTAAATATTTATTGTACACTTACTACATGCCAACTGCTTTTAGTGCATTATCTCAATCAATCTTTACAACTACAGCAAAAGATAAATACTAGTGTCATCTATAATTTATACTTAGAAAAACAGCATGCTTAGTACTCAACACTGCTGATTTCACTTGCATTTTTCCTACCTCCCACCCTAACTGCCAGCTGGCTTTGGAACTCCAAACAGGCATCCATGAAAATAGCATAGKATTGCTTGCAGGAAATGGAACACTCCAGGAGTTTGACACTAAAAGGGTTTGGAACTGTCCACTAACTAGTGCTGCTGAGAACCTGGGTTGTTCAAAGGAATTTCAGATTCCTCTATTCCAACTTCCTTTTCCTTAGGGTACTTCCAATACCAACAGGTCCTCTTCATGGGTGTGTGTGGGGAGTGGGGAGCGCTGGTAAAACAGCAAAACCTGAGACCGAGCCTGGAGTCGTGCAAAGGAATCAAACAGACTTGGTTTATTAAAAAGTCCAGTCATTTGCTTTGCTTTTGAACAACCTTGAATGGCATTATGGATGGGTGGGTGGGTGCGTGGGATGCTATTAATTATGAACAAATTTGGAGTAAGAATCTGCTATATCTGCTATCACACGACGTAATTTTCTCCATTTTTTTTTTCTGATTGCAGATTTAATCCATTTTATCGGAAAAGTAGAAAATGCAAAAACAGCTAGATTTTCATTAAATTTTAATTATTCTCTTCCCATGCCTTTTCTCGCTTGCTCCATATCTTCCGAAGAAGACCTGGAGTGCAGGGTAGGAGAGACCCAAGAGCATCTCAGAGGGCAACAGCTCAACTTCACTCCCCTGCAGCCCCTGCAGCTTGCTGCGCCCCTCACCCCTCCCCCTTACCCGGCGCTTACCATTGGTCATTGCCATGACAACCAGCAGCTGCCGGGTCGGCCGCTTCTACCGCAGCAGGGGTGGGGCCGTCGGGGTGGGGGAGGGAGAGGAGGAGCCAGTGGAGGTGTCTGCTGCAAGTTCCTGGCTGCTTCTGAGCTCACCCCATCCTCCAAGAGGGAGGAGGCCTGAGCGGTGATGCTGCGCTGCTGTCGCTGCCGCCTGCCTCTGCTGACATTCTAGTGGGGCTGGAAGGGTGGTTCCTGTTCGCCACATCGCCAACCAGAGAGGAGGAGGAAAAAAATCCCAGCAGCCGCTGCTGATGTTGGGTTCGGAGGCTGCATCCGACTCGGTCACAAGGAAAATGGATTCAGTTTGCATCTCTCCCTCCTTTCTACAGCTTCTCCGAGTCTCAGCATGGTGAGTGGGAGACCTAGGGGCTACCTTCTTGGTTTAGCTGGTTATTAAATGACTTGTGTATACATTTGTGGCCTGGATTTGAACAATGACTCCCCTCTCTCAGTCTAGGAGGGGGAGATGTGGAGACAGATGAGGGGAGGAAGGTTACCAAGGAGAGGAGTGAGAAGGCATCCGCTTGTGTTAAAAAAAAAAAAAAAAAAAGTGTTGTGATTTTTATCACAAATTGGCTCAGAATACAGACTGAGCCACTTGATTCCTTCCCTCCCAAGCTTAGCAACAAAATCAGGGGGTGGAAAAACCGCTAACAACAGGAAAAGGGTGCTGTTGAAAGGAATCGTTTCATTTGCAGCTCTTATATGTAGGGTTTGGGCCTTCCTCAAAGCCCCATTTGGTGTCTCAACCYTCTCRGCCTAATTATCAGGTGGTTTTGTTTATTTTCTTCATTGCTAAGGTGGCCCCAGAATTTAGCCTTCTATTTCATACTCTAAAGGACTCTTGTTGAGAAACAATTTGATGGATCTGGAGCTTCATTTTTAGTACATAGATTTGATTGTGAACCTACAGACATGCATCTTATGGTTATTCATATCAGATATACACATTACTTAGCATTTATATTGCATTTATGAAGCATATTTATATGTGGAGGATGCTTGCTTTACTATCATTTTTATGGGTTTTGAATGGCCCTGCATGCTTGGAAGTAATTGCATTTTTTTGAAACTATGTTTCTGGTTTGTATTATTATTCATTGGCTTCCTTTGGATTAATGTGAGATTTATTCTTGTTATTGTCCCTTAGTTTCATTGTGACCAATTAAGACAGATGCCTATCATTTGATCTGCATTACAGAACTAGATGTGAATTCATAGAGTGGCTCTTTTCTTTATTTTTAATTGGGTTTGTTGGGAGTGATATTGAGGGCCCTGGATTTACAATGAGGGGAAAGGGAGGTGGCTTATGGTATTATTTTGCATCCAACATCTTGCCAAATGAATGTTGGAACAAATCAGTTTTCTCAAAATTCCACCCCAGTCTTTGTATGTGTGTACCTTATGTCCCGTGAACATGAAGCACAGCTGAGCTGGAAGGTGAAATGCATTCATTTTATTTAATAGTGCTGCTATTCGATGTTCATTCCTTCAGTATCCAGGCACCATTTTATAGTTCTCCCAAATATTGTGTTACAGGTCTGCTTCTGTAAGTRATTAAGTAGGAAAGTAGGATTGCTTTTGAAAATTTAAGTATTCCCAAGAACACTGGGATAGCTATTTCCAAATCAGCCAGCTTATACAATGAAATGAAAGAGTGAGCAAAGCTTAGCTGGAGAATGGCTCATGCTACTATGTGCTGAAATAGGAGGGGGGTGTAGTTTATAAATGCTTACTAGGATCTGCTTGACCTTTTATTATGTCAAGGTTTTAAGGCAGCTCAGGAAGACTAAAGATGCCTGATATGAGTAGCATACAGGGCTCCATTACCACCTAGGATAATGGATTTCATTGAACTAAAGCCAGAAAAATCCTTGCAGGTAAAAGTGTATTATAATATYGCATTCATCATATATACTGATTTCAGTCATCTGCCTCTTCTCCAACAATATCACTCTGGATATCTTAAAAACATTTTTTGCAATGTAAAATCACATAATTTATTTTGCCTTCATCTTTCATTTTATTTTAAYACTTCCCCCTCATTTATAATTTTTACATGTGTCAGGTTTATTGTTTAATTTTTCTGAGAATAATTTTTCTATTTGGTTTATACATGGGACACATCCTTAGTGAGTTAATTTAACCTGCTCATAGTATGTCATATGTTATATAGATTCACAACTCTGTAAACCCATGCTATTATGTGCCTAATTGTAACAACTATATAAAGTAGGGCAAGAAAGGAGTTACTGGGCTTATATGTCATATCATTTTTTTTATAACACTTTGTGTCCTGAATATTTTAATGATAACTTTGACTGCCCAAAATTAAAATTTCTGACATATCTACAATAAACTAAAAAAAAAAAGATATGTAGCAATTGGCCCTGTTTCATACAATGAAAGAAGACAGCATAGGGCTTTGTTGTTATTTCCTTTGTGTTGAGTTTCCATTTGGATGTGGTTTTTATGGACAAAGTTGGTACAGTTTGAACAGAGGCACATCACCGTCTGCCTTAGGCTTAGTACTCACTGTAAGTAGTCTGTTTCAGCTCTAACGCCAGGCCCTGTGTCTGAGGAAGGATTCAGACACTACTAGAATTGTTTCATTTGAAGAAGAAAAAACTGAGAAATATCAGTTTTTTGTTTGATAACAATTATTTGTTTCAAATAAGCTGATGTTTTACATAGGGGTTGTATATTGCTATTTTGGGGAATGTAAAATATGGTCAATGGGCTTCAACTTCATTAAGAAGAATGAAAATTAAAAATATGAAATGTAGAAGTTCCTCTTAGTAAGTGAGAATAGTTACTTGGATAATCAGATAAGGTTGTGCATTCTTCTCTCATTGAAACCTCCAAAAGTGTGACCTACATATGCATTTGTCTGGGATGGACTAGTATCCTTCTCAAGAATTCCTCTGGCTATTTCTAGAGTTAATCATCCTTTTAAGAATGTGAGTTGTTTACTACCAGGTACTTCTAGATCTACAATAGCTAGACTCCATTTTGTAATTGGCTTCTAAATTACGAAATCTGGATATTTAAAAAAAAATCTATTGATCATCTGCTTAGAGAAATTTTTATGTAATTCTGCCAGTATGCAGGGATTAATCTGTTCATTAGAGCCCTTCTTTCTCAGCAGCTTAATGAAATGCAATGCCAAATACCTACACTAAAAGTTTTCCCCAGCAGGCAAGGTGGTGAACACCTGTAATCCCAATGACTCCAGAGGCYGAGGCAGGAGGATCACAAGTGCAAGGACAGTCTCAGCAACTCAGCAAGACCCAGTCCCAAAATAAAAACTAAAAGGAACTGGG